ATGAATCTCAATCGCATTTGCACTTATAAATTATTACCGATGTTATTTATTTACAATGTATAATAATCTTTTATTAGATAGTTTTTCTCAGTCTTAATTTAATGAATAATTATAAAACTTAAAACATTATAAGAGAAAGGTATTGAAGAACTTAAGTAACTAAACAGTCTTCTGTTTAGATCACTTTATTTGTTAGCGAATATTAAATTAATAAAATTTACTAGCTATATCCATTTGGTTTGAATATTTGAAGCATTTATTGTATTTAAAAAAGAAGATTGATGTTTTTCGTATATATAAATACACAGTAATTTGAAATGAAGTAACTCAACCCAATTGAAAGCACTGAGATTAAATAAGCGAAGCAGGATAACTTAGCGATTTTAATACGAATTTGTTTATCATTTCTCAGTTAATATTCAATAAACTTGCCTTAGCTTTTTCGAAAATTCGCATTTCAATAAAGTAATAAATCACTGTTATAAATTGTTCTGCAAGGCACAGTAAACCATGTACAGCGGATCCCTATTGTCTCCTTGGACCTTCAGATTTTAAGAAAGTGCCTTCAAAAGAATATTATTTAGTAATAACGTTGCACCTTAATATACAAACAATATAACTTATATTGGACTGCTTATTAAAATTGCAAGCTCTGTTTAGGCAAGTTTGCAATAGTGCTTTTACAATCTGTCACTTTCATTATATACAGATTCTCTGCTCGAATATTTTAAAGCATAAGCAACATAGTGCCAAATTACTATTAATGGTAATAAAAAATCTCGATAAATACTGTAATTTACTTATTTGGTTATGAATCATCGTCCACAGTGTAACTAGCAGGAGATAGTATCTTCAGAGACACAATAGCTGCACGTAATACATTTTCTTTGATTATGCAAAAGCTAAGGCTTGAAGCAGCAATTATTAGCTCAAAATTTCACACCCTTTAATTTACGACACTTGATTATTAACTTTCTAGTTGTTACAGTGTTATATACTGTATTACAGTAGAAATATCAATGTTAGGATAATTCTATTAGACTATCCTTATTTAGTTAACTTCTAATTTGGATATACTGTATTTTAATATAGCACTGACTTTTTATGACAGTGACACTTATACACATACTGAAATTAATAGTTCTAATAGGGAATGCAAATCATCTGCTTACAGTTCCAATCATTGTGATTGTAATTTACTTATAGTAGACTGTAAATTATCATGGAAATGTTCCGTGATAGGACATATCGTAATCTGACTATTCTGTATTAGTCATTATATGTCTATGTTCGTAAATACTGTTGTCTGCATTAAGGGAGCAGTAGCTAAAATTAATATCTAATTCAGTAAATAATTCTAATGTTAATTGTATTAACTATGACTCATGAACTATTGAGGAATAGTATATAAATGCAGTATATCGTGAAATAAAGAAGAATTGTCCAACTTAGTGTTTAACGTAAAATACGAGGCGTTTAAGTCTTTGTGTAGTCTGCTAGTAGAGCAAAAGTGCTCGTGATAGTGCAGATATCGTTCCTTGATACGTAGTTCAAGGAATTGACTTATTGATCGTAGATTACGTTATCTTGTTGCAAAGCTGTTTTGTGACACTAGTATATATCGTAGCCGGTCAAATATTTGAATTGATTATAATTTAATGCAGAGTCAAATGGACGAAATCGAATTAAAATCCAAATTGAGATATTTAGCTTAACATACAATGCACAAACTAACGATAGCAAAGAGTATAAAATGTTAAACAATACACTTTCCTTCATTGTTTACAATGGTTCTCAAACTTTGTTGATAATTGAAATATGCTATCAATACTAATATTTTGCAGCGAAAGATTAGACTATCAGGTATATGTAAGGTGTCGTAAACATTTCGATTATATTATTGATATTCTGTTTACGCTACTGAAATGCTTAATACAATCCAGTTGAATATATTATTGAACTTTAACTATGGGAAAGTGGAAACAATAAGAGAATGCAATCTGTATATTAATTTAAATATTTAGTATAAATATTATAGATGAAATAATCGAAATAATGAGATAAAATTAGAGAAATTCTTACTAAAAAGTGCTCTCTTTTCAAGATCACTTAAGGCAATAAGACTTATGAATAACTATTGATTAATTTCCTCTTAACTACAAGCCTACAATATATCAATAATCTAAAGATCCTAAAGCAAAACAAAATTTATTCAATAGTACTCTTACATTATCATAGGAATAATTGTGATTTATCATATTAATTTCAGAATACTGATAATTATAATACGCACAGAATGGTGCTATGTACTACAATAGCAATTTTAAACTATTGTCATTGCCTAATTATTAATTATTAATTATTAATTATTAATTATTATCCACAATTTATACTGTATACGCCCATAATATAGTCGTAACAACCATAAGCTTGAAGGTTGTTTGCTAATAATTGATAAGTAATAACTTTTGTCGAATTGGAAACGCCTGCAAACATTTAGCTTAAGCTGTCTCTCTTCTCAGAAATGAATCGATCCCGCGATGGTCTTGCAATTACTTTGAAAATATCCATTTACTTTCTATTATAGCATAAATTTCTTAACCAATTAAAAGTATGATTACAATGAAAGAAAAATTATTGTATTACTTGTCAATAGATTTGATGGCTGGCAAATAAACACTAATAGTATAAGGTATAATAGCAGTGTATACTTCATTTCATAATTTTTCTTATCATTACTTTAGCTTATCCTCATTGACATCTATATTGTACCATAAAACTATATAAGTCGGCTCAAACTTGTTTACATCATTTTGATTTCAAGATTTGGCAAGATATTCAAACATCTCAGTAGCAAGCTTCCAACACTTTGATTTAATAATATTTGCAATGAATTTATTAAACACAATCATAGGTACGGCTAATACTTAATTCTGCTCAAAAGTACGTCAGGGTACCGTTTCTTTTCTGTAAATTTCACAAGTTTATCATTAAGCTAATTTATGCAAATATTAAATTGAGTGTTAAAGTTAAGCAAGAGAACTAGCCTCTTATAATATTTCATACCATTAGATTCCTTGCCAGGCGGAAACTAAATTATTTTAAACTCATTTTGAGCTACCACTTTAAGAGATTTTCATATCGTCAGCAAAATTTTTTTTGGATAGAAATAACATTGAAAGATCAAAGCTAACGTTACAGGTGCAGAAATTTGCAATCGAATTTGAATACAGTTTCTTGTTAATTTTTATTGTTGCATGCCGGTATAGTAGTGTGAGGTAGATAGATCAAGAATCTTCAAAACTTTAGAAAAATTAAGATTTATTGAACAAAACCTCCTTTACGAAGATACAACGTAATCGATTAGCTGAGGAGCTCTAACGAGAAAGAACTATCTTACTATACTAAACTACTCGCTTATATACTTTTCCGCCTTTACAGTCTTAGCACCTGTGACATTCATTAATTAATGCATCATCAATATTATAATTTTGTTGTGTGATGAATCATATGTTGACACCTAGCTACTAATTAACTAATATTAAATGTCATAGAAAGTGTGTTGTGATTCTAGCTATAATAAGTATGTAGACTGGGTTATTAATTAATTACTGTTTTTGCACCAACGAAGTTGGTGAGGATATATAAAGTCTCAAAGTTCTTAATTGAGAGTTAGTTACGTTAGTCGATGACAGATGGTTATCAGTTGCTAGTCGTAATTGTAAGTTGTGCGTTCAATCGGACATTTTAATAAAATAGCTTCTAGAATAAAGTTTTGATCCTTAGCGTGAGTAATCTATCGTCTAAGACTCGAATCTAAGTTTGGTTGATTAAAGAGTGCTTAGAGTTAGTTGCTTAGATAGTTAAGTCTACTTTAGAGGAAAGAATCCCGTTTAATTCTTGTGTTACGATCTCGGTTGTGACAGCACCTTACTTACTACACATTTCAGTATTATCATCTCAAATACAGGATAGTTTATACCTTTCATGTGAAGCTCTAGTGTGAGCACTGTAGCGCTTCTCTTCAAAAGGATTACAGTTACTAAGCTAGCTATATTTAATACTTAAGCCTCTAACGAGAATATCTATCATATGTTGAACACAACACCTACGGTAGACATTACTAAATATATCATCAACTTAGAATACAATATTACACTGTCTTACAAGTAGTAATAAGGTGAAACTGCTACATAAACGATTTTCCTATAAATCCTGGTTAAGTGCAGCTGGTGAGGTTAGTCAATATCGTAGCCTATTATTGTGACCTAGATAAGATAGTTGCTTATTTAATAATAGACCTATATTTCATCTTGAAAAGTTAAAACTCCAGCAGCAAAGATTTGCAAAACAAAAATATCTGTTGCAGCAGTAAATATGATTCGATAAGGTTAACAAAGTGACATCCCTCATTAATTAAACCTTCAATTCAATTGTGCACTTTCAGTAAATTTTACACTTCATTGAACGGATACCTTAACACTTCGGTAGCACTCTTAATTTCTCATAAATCGAGCCACTTTTACCATCTAATTCATGATTGCATTACTGCTTATATGTAGGCTGCATTACATCAATACCGTATAATCTTCAATCATTAAGTAACTTGAAATTGGCTATGGAACCAATTTTTACAATAAGTGTTTCAATCCTTAGCGTTCTAATTTGTTTTATTATTGACATGAAATATTAACTCCAACGAAACATCAGTGGACAGTACGTTAGTAGCAAGAAAGAAACATTAATTTGTTGCGTTAGCAACGATATTTATATTGCTTTTAGATTATACTCTTATTACATGCTATTTCATTGCCATAAAATATTTTAATGTCGATTAGAAAATTCATTAAATTAATTTTAAGTTTGGTTTTAAGCCGATAATAAAGTATTATTGTTACAATCTCATGGAAAATTACTTGGTATGCACTTTGTCTCAGTCATATTTAAATTCTTTAGGTGTCATCTTGCTCATCTCTCTGAAAATTTATAGCTGTCAAACTATGCCGACACCAGATGATAGACTTGATGCTATTGATAACATAAAAGAGAAGATAAGTTTAACAGTTCAAGAATCAGTAGAAATTTTAGGAGGAATGATTAGTGATTTTTGTGAAAATTCGCTTCGTGATGTTGAATACCGTTCTCCAATTATACTTATGAAGGTTAGCGAATATAAGCTGCTACACAATACTATATAAATTTAATTTCATTATGTAGGTATTTATTCATAATTTCTTAGTGAAAGAGCATTCTTCAATATGATAGAAGAATCAAAGAGTAGCTATAGCTTTGATTTGAAACTACTACTACATCTAGTATCATAATAACAATGCAGTATTAATTTTAATTTCTGAAATATTATATGTCAATCAATCATAACATAATAATGATAATTAAGGAATATCCACATCTTTCTAATTGATAAGCATTTAATACGAATTATCGTATTTGTAACAGGGTACGAAAAGAAATCATGGCCCTTTACTTCCTCAATCTGAGAAAATTTTATCTAACCTGACATACAATATTGGAAAAATTATTATGACTGGGGGTTTACTTGATCAACTAACAACCTGCTCTATGTCAGCATCGAAAAACAAAGCCTGTTCTTTTGTCAAATTGCATCATAATTTTCATAAAATATTGGCTAATCTACTTCCAGTGGTAAACTTTTAAATTGATAACTAATCGGAAAGCAAATAGCTAGTAGAAAATAGATAACGCATGTATAAAAAAATCCCGTGCATATGTCAGCACGGAATTTTCATCCATTTCTGGCAGATCTTGTTCTAAACAATTACTATTATGATACAAATTAATTAACTTTCCTGACATTGCAGTTATATCCAACGCAGTGCAAAGAGAGACAAATGAAGCATTTCAAAGAAGATGGAAGGTATGTCATATAGTAATATTGATAA